TACGTGCACTATCTCTGTTTCTCGGCAACAACGATCAGGATTAGCGCTAAGAGAAGAAACACGATAATTAACAGGAGGTGTCTGTTAGACCACCGTGTACGGCCCAATGAAGCGACTTATGAATTTGTCGCATAAGCCGGGGACGCGTAGTGGAGTCCATAGAAGAACCTCGTCACCAGGGGAAAAACTCACAACACGGCGAGACGAGTCGTAGCGAGATTTTCGAGTGTCTTGAGAGAGGCCGATGTTAATACGGTCCTGGTGATGGCAGTGTGTGAAACGAGATAAAAATTCTTCAGAGAAAGTAGCCGTAGAGGGTGCAAGGGCCGAAAGGAAAGAAACATCCTGAGCGAAACTTGGCGAGCGACCATGAACGAGAAAAAATAGAGAGAAGCCGGTAGTACCTTGAGGAGCCATAATATTGGCGAATGTCACGAAAGGTACAATTGCATCCCAGTTCATGTGGTTGGGGCGAATGTAAACGGCGATCATGTCCAATAGGGTCCGATGAAACCGTTCAGTCCATCCGTTGGTCTGCGGGTGGTAGCTAGAAGTGGTCTAGTGAACAGTGTTCGAGGCACGCAAAACTTGCTCGACCATGGAAGAGAGAAAGACTTGGCCACGATCACTCAGGAGAATGCGTGGAGCTCCATGACGCAAAAAGATGTAGCGAAGAAAGAAATCAGCGACCTCAGTGACAGTCCCAGATGGTATAGAAGCTGTTTCCGCGAAGCGGGAAATGTGGCCGACAGCCGTGACAATCGAGCGATTCATATTGGATGAGGTACTCCCTGTCGGTTCCTACGTGGGAGACATCCGCTACGCACTAAGCGCGTCCTACAGGACTTAAAGTTTTTTCATTCCATATCATATAGGAAGAGGGCCATACAAGTCAATTTCAACGTCTTCAAAAGGCGAGGCGGGACAAGGAGGAGCAGTTGTCGGTCGTTTTCGCCGTTGGCAACGTACTTAGCGACAGCTGAAGAGAGGCCAGACGAAAAACAACGACTTCGTATTTTGTCGTAAGTCTTGTGATAGCCTAGATGAGCGGTGGTTGGATCATCATGAAAGTCTTCCAGAACGTAGCGTGCATTAGCGCAGTATATGAAAGAAAGAGACACGACGCAGACGAGATGAGTAGGCGCTAGATGAAAACGTGAATGAAAACACTACTATGTCATCGAGATAGCACAGACCCGTTTTCTATTTCAAACCGCGCAATACGCCGTCTATCATGTGTTCGAAGCCGGCGGGCGCATTACAGAGTCCAAAAGGCATCACATTAGGCTCGTACAGCCCATCTGGCGTTGAAAAGGCGGTGTTCTCTTTATCAAACTCCGACATTGATATCTGCCAGCAGCCTGACCTAAGGTCGAGGCTACAAAAATACTCTGCGCTCTGTAATGAATTCAGTGCATCGTCGATTCGAGGAAGAGAATAAACACCCTTGCACGTTATTTTGTTTAGCGCACGGTAATCGACGCAGAAATGCACTGTCCCATCTTTCTTTTGAACGAGAACAACTGAGAATTTCTAGGGACTCAAGGAAGGACGTGTGATGTAGCGTCGTAGCATGTCTGAGACATTTTCCTCGATGATGTTGCGTTCTGCCTGAGACACGCGATATGGACGCTGATGTACGATACGGGAGCCGTCAGTCTGAATGCTGTGAGTAGCGATGGTAGTCATGCTGAGGGCGGGCGAGTTCACGTCAAATAGAGAACGGTGTCTATTCAACAGAGCGAGCGAATCTTCAGTTTGATCAGGTGTTAAGTGAGTGCTTATGGTTGCCGACACAGGTGTGGAAGAGGCATTGATTGGCAGTGATTGCGACTTTGGGACATCGTTGTGGTTGTTGTTCAGAAGAGTAACAATCGCAACAGGCTCACTGTCGACCGCGCAAGATACCGTTGAGCCACAGGGTAGAAGTACTCACTGTGGTGTTTGATTTATGGTGGTTAGGTAGGTAGACCCATCGAAGAAGCAAATAAGCCGTGGTGTGATCACAATGCCCCTACGTAGTGTATGGTCGTATGGGAGAATTAGTACGTCACCCTCCACAATGTCGGTGCAATTAACACTTATAAATTCTTCGATGTATGGCCGAAGTACGTAACCACACGTGGTGACAAGGCGGATGCGTCCATCGTGTGCAATCGGAGAAGAGTCAGTGGCATTCAGATGCAGGAGGCACTGATGACAAGATATGAAAATGGACTCAGAAGACAAGAAATCCCACCCCAAAATAAGAGCGTAGGTGCACTCATGAAATACAGGAAACGATGTGATGACGAATGCCTCCTATGCAGACGTGAACGGTACACTGTGCAAGTGGACGAATGAGAGCGTTGGTCGCTGCACGGAGAGGTGGGCCGCCATAAGGCGTGGTGACTTTTTGAAGGCGGGAACAAAAATCAGCACGAATAATCGAAACGGCAGTGCCAGTGTCTACAAGTGCCCCAACGCTTACCCCTTCTACAAACACTACTATCAAATTCGATGGCCGCTCAGGAGGAATTGTTAGCTGTCCGGTGGATGCACTTTCCCCTCCTAAAGCTGCATTGGGGAGTTTTCCGCGTGGTCGTTCGTGAAATGGGAGGCGGGCCGCAGAGGCGACACTGAACGGTGACCTGGCGAAGACGACCTGCGGCGAGACGTACGGGAATTCCCAGGCATGTCAGTATGGTAGGTAGGAGGCGGTAAATGGTATTAGGAGGATCGGGAGGGTGGTAGTAGGTAGCTCATGGTCGGACGGAAGCTTCGATGTTCTTAAGGAGCGTAGCCGCGTTGCTCGTCTTTTTGGCGCCTTCGACAAAACCGAGCGATATGTCCTTGATAGCCGCATTAGTAACAAATTGGTCGAGGTGGACGCTGGGGTGCGTAGTAAGGCGGTGCACGCACTGGCGGTAACAACGAAGCCACAGGTGTATGGTGTGCTGGTGTAGGCACAGAAACGGTGGGTGCGGCAGAGAGCGCGGCAACGTCGGCGTATGTGTGCGTCTGGCGCACGCAGAGACCGTTGGAACACGTCGGACTCGATGCAGGTGCGATCTCTTGTTTGATCAGGTCTTGCAGGCTATCTTTTTCAAAAGGGAGAGTAATTCCGCAGCGCAGGAAGAGCAGCGCCCGTGAAGCTCTGCACGAACGATGTCGCGAATAAGTGCACGCAAGTAGAGGGGTGCAGGCAAAAGAATGTCGGTGGCATCGCAGCAGAGGCGAAGAGACTGAAGCTCGTCAAGTTGCTGACAGATGGTTATCATGTCCTGGGTGGTGGCAGGATTTTGCGTGGCGAGGGTGTTAAAGGTGGTGGTCTTAATGCCTTTAATAATGTGGCGTATTTGGTCGTTCTGAGACATGCCGGTGTTAACGCGCTTGCACAGTGCAAGGACATCCTTAATATAAGAGGTGTAAGATTCACCCGGCAGCTGCGTGCGCTCAGCGGGCTTCTTCTTTGCTGCCTCAGGGTGAACTGTAGGGGCGCCAAATATTTGACGAATTTGCTGCTCGAAAGTGTCCCAGCGGGAAGATCCGGGTGGTGATTCTAGAACGAAGTTTTCACAACATCAAACAAGTAACATGGGACGCTGCGCAACTTCTGTGCATGGACTGTCCCATCTGTTCAAATCACTGACGAGGTCGTAGTTCTTGATTCAGTCTTCGGCTCGTCGCCTCGGAGAATGAAAAAAACAGGTAGATCATGCAGGCGAATGTTGTTGGTGGAGCGGGTGGCGGTGGCTGCAGTAGGACAGCCGCGTTGGATGGGCCAGGGTTTTCTTGGGCCGCGATGGCTGGGGGTTGTATGCGATGACCCGAGCAGAGCTCCAGCGAGAACGGGCGAGAGGACTTAAGGGAACGAAAAGCACCGTCCACCACTTGTGAGGAACCGGTTTATTCAGCCAGGCTTGAGCTAAATCACACTGGTGATGATATTTACAGATGATGAAGATGTACAGGTGATGATGCTATCTAAAAAGAATAAAGAGTCATTTGCTTGTCGCGCTTATAATATGCGTTTCCCGTAAAACATGACTACTTGCTACGCGTTCTCCCGGCCGTTTCACTAGTTCCACATATACCGAATTCGGTATTACGTTACGTGAATGGAAAATTCATGATAATGACACATCTAAGTATGATAACGATGATATGGATTTCATGTAAAACATGACTACATGCTATGCTCATAGCACGCTCACAGCCGTTTCACTCACTCCTTATTTACCAAAGTCGGTATAAGGTGACGTTAATAGATGACGAAAATAACTTAAAGTCCCAACAGAATAATCATTACTTGGAAGACGTGTACGGCATTATTTACCTCCACCTGTTAACGTTGTACTGATTTTGAAGTGACATACCAGACTTCCTCATTCGTGCTTCACATATCATCAATTCCCACTGTACGTGGGATCTGCCAATATTTTTTCGTTCTGGCGTTTTCAAATATATAAATACGTATACATATACAGTGCATAGCATCGACGCCGACGCCCATGCCGATTCCGGCAGCGAAATTCAGCCGAGAGTGTCCATATAATTGCTATCGCAATAAAAGAGAGCATTTTCATTGGAGTCACAAAAGTCTCGTAAGGTGCGTTTCGATTGACGCCCGTGATTAAGACATCACCGCCATACATATTGTGCGTTTGTCATTTGGCGTCGTTGTAGTGGTTTCGCCTGCCTACCCCGACGCCGTGATGTCGCGAACCGCCACCACAGCGCCTCGGCTGTGTAGCGCTTCCGCCCCTCGGCCGCGTGCGTCTGTCTTCTCCGTATTATAAATGCGAAGCATTTCTGAGCGAACTTCGGCAACATTAAGCGTATCTATCTATCTATCTATCTATCTATCTATCTATCTATCTATCTATCTATCTATCTATCTATCTATCTATCTATCTATCTATCTATCTATCTATCTATCTATCTATCTATCTATCTATCTATCTATCTATCTATCTATCTATCTATCTATCTATCTATCTATCTATCTAGCCGCTTACGTGTGGGCGCTCTCGTGGTCACTCCCTTGACTTGGCGTGAAGCGAAATTTGCATGGGAGGGTGAGATGGCTTGACGAATATGACGCGCTGGTCAAGACAAGATTAATGCCACAATCCTGTCGCGTGCGTCGTCAAACACTTCCCGCCAAACAGTGGCAGCACATACCCACGGACGGTATGTGCCGCTAGTATGCAGGTATGTGCTGCAGGTGATTGACATTTAGCATCTACCAAGGAATGACGAGAACACACAAGAGCAATTTTAACGCGCGAGCATTAAGAAATGCCTGACATCGGTAGCGTTGACCTGACGAATGAATAGAATAAATGCCAATGTTCCAGCTTTAATCGAACCCAAGCATTCTGCGTGGCAATGAAGTGTTTTACCACAGAGCTACGACTGGTCTCGGAGCTGCTTTTCAAATAGACGCTAATCTTCGCGAAACGTCTATTGTGGTTGCAGAGCTGCCTACCCAATTTCATAAACATTCCATATGTACTCCTCTGATACAGCCATTACATAGGGTGAACGTCAATTGCGGTTAGTTCCTATGCGCTGAAGTTCATTTACGTAGCAGTGTCTAGACCGGCATCCTCGCGAACATCAGCGCTTCTTATCAGCTTCTGGTGTTGCTAATACGCATGTTCCAGTTGACATCTTTGCGCAACTGCAAACATTGCCTCACCGTGGTGGTCTAGTGGCTAAGGTACTCAGCTGCTGACCCACAGGTTGCGGGGTCGAATCATGGCTGCGGCAGCTGCATTTTCGATGGAGGCAAAATTGCTGCAGGCCCGTGTGCTCACAATAAGGTGAACGTTGAAAAACCCTAGGTGGTCAAAATTACTGGAGCCCTCCACTACTGCGTCTCTCTATGTCTTATGGCGGTTTCGAGACGTTAAACTTTACATTATCAATAAACCAACCAATCAATCAAGTGCAAACAACTGGTTATATAAACATCTGCAACTCTTGCTTGTGTCTGTGCGTGCAACATTTGTACATATATTTAGTGACATTTCATGACGTGTCGCGCAATAAGAAAACTGCATCACGATCACATTCCCTCCGAATGCTTCGCATAACGTCGATTCCCAGGTACATGGGATCTGCCGAATTGTTTTCATTCAGGACCTTTTTGCCTTTAATGAAGGATCGTATCCGAGTTTCGGAAGCGTCCAGGTTGCACATAATATGCGACTGCAAAAAAGGGTAGAGCCATCGCGATGCAAAAATAAAAGGCCGTGCGTGTGCTCAGCGACTCTGATACTCTCTGTGAGGGCCATGTTGAACCATCCTGTGCGCACCCTATAGGCGATGAAACTTGCGAATAAGGCGCACGGAACCCTAGATAAAATGGCCTCAGCCTATACAATTTCTCTCGTAACCATATCTTGAATTTTCTTGATCACAGCTCACGCATTGAAAAGCGGTTGGCTGCCGCAGGACTTGCAATGAATTTCCAGCCGTCCACCATGAGAATTTTATACATTTCTGCTATATTTTCCTAATGTATGATTTAGGCAATGTCTTTCCCACATATTTTTGTGACACAAAAGTGGAATGCGATAAACTAAACTTCAGACAATGTAACCAAGAAAATACAAAGCAAGCTTACAAAAGAGGTTGTTGAGACTGAGGCTATCTTGATATGGTAAGAAATTTAGCGCAAATTTGCACTCCAACGATACACTGACACCTTGACACATTCTTTCAAATAAGAAACACACACCGCACGCAGCGCTCATTACTAACGCGTGCGTGGTGTGTGTTTATGGTTTGGAAGACTGTGTGAATATGTCAGCGGGTCGGGGGAGTACAAAGTTTCTCTCAATTTATTACATTGTGACGAATTGGCAACGAGCCTAACCAGGTTTATTAAGCTATATTGAGGCTATATATTTCTGAATTCCTTGTGCCTCAGAAATCTGTCGCTCAACCTCAGTGAACAGAAACTGTCGTGCCTAAGAAATTACGTGTCGTCTTATGTTATGCGCTTTTTCTTGAGCCATATTAGTCGAGAGTTGCAATAAAAAAGCTGCCTCCGTCTTACCACGGAAGGAACTTGAGTAAAGGAATTGCAGAGTAGTGGGGGTGTCACTTGAATATTGCGTAATTGGATTTGGCGGGGGAATGGCTAATTTGTATTTCGTATTTATTGTTGCTATTTATTGAACTGTAGCGTAGGCCAAGCGAAAGAAAAGGGAAGTCAAGTAAAGACGCTATAGACCGGTTTTCGAACGCGTGATCCAAGGCCTACATAAACGTGGTGATTAGTGAACGGTTGTGCAGCGTGACAGTCGTTCTTTTAACATTGAAAGCTCTTATGAGAGCACAACGCGGGTGTCGCATAGCGGAGTAGTTGTCCGGCGCTGACGCCGCCAGTGTCTGTAACCACGGTCACACGAAGCAAGAAAGAAAAAAATTTGTACCGTTGACACAGTGGGTCTCGAGCCTGGGTCCGCTGTGTGTCGGCCCAGTATTCTACCCCTAAGACATGCCGGTGCTTCAGATTTGTTGGCGAACCTGCCTTACGCAGGCTTGGTGTCGGGAAAGCAATCGCGTTATTACGACGTATAAAGCGGTTTAGGAGAGCGAAGCAACAACCAATCGTCGCACAATGGGAATGGCGTAATGAGTGGGTTGTTCAATATTTCAACTAATTACAAAAGCTTGTTCTTGTTCTACTATTAACTGTGACGCATACCCAGTTCAGCCATACTTCCTAATCGACGTCATCCACTGCACGAACAATTCGCACAAAATGCCTCGAAATAGTTTAGCGGCTACCACACGTCTCAGAAGAATCATGAAAAATAGCATAGCGTATGGCAGCCTACTACCATGAAATTTGTATTATTAATGTTGTAGTGGGCATCAAGCAAGTGTGCTTGCAACAGTTACCCAATGAGTGTTTAGAAGAGGCTCTGAAAGCCCGCTCTTCTAGCTTTGGCTGTGACTGTACTGTGCCTTTCGTGCAGGCCTGGCGTTTTTTTTTATATATGCGAATACATTTCTGAGTCGCCCTATGTAAGGCGTTCGTCGGGATCCGTCCACAGCCCTCTCCTATAGCAACAGATGTGGGCACGCGCACTTATACTCGCCCTTAGCAACCGGAACATTTTGTGCAAGACATTGTAAGAGAGGGTAGGTGGAGTGCTTCGATGCTCCTTCTCTAGCTGGTAACTCTCTCTTCTCTCTGCACCCTACTTTTCCGTCCACTTACATCTCACTCTCAACCGTTCTATGGCTGGGCGCCTGTAAAATATATCCGGAAAGTGCTCCAGGCGCCTCTATAAAATGCCAACACATCGCCGAGAATACTGTTTGTTTTAAATGCGAAGGATTTTTTAGCAAACTTTGGCGACTTTGAGTTCATCTATCTATCTATCTATCTATCTATCTATCTATCTATCTATCTATCTATCTATCTATCTATCTATCTATCTATCTATCTATCTATCTATCTATCTATCTATCTATCTATCTATCTATCTATCTATCTATCTATCTATCTATCTATCTATCTATCTATCTATCTATCTATCTATCTATCTATCTATCTATCTATCTATCTATCTATCTATCTATCTATCTATCTATCTATCTATCTATCTATCTATCTATCTATCTATCTATCTATCTATCTATCTATCTATCTATCTATCTATCTATCTATCTATCTATCTATCTATCTATCTATCTATCTATCTATCTATCTATCTATCTATCTATCTATCTAACCTCCAACGGCTTCAAGCTTTAAACAATTTGCAGCATGAGCTCGAAGCGACACTGGGCGGTAGTTGCTTATTTCTAGCTTTGATCCTGATTTGTGTATAGGGACTACTTTAGCGTTGCGCCAGTCGTCTGGCAAATCCGAATAGTGTAAAGACAATGTCTGTATAATAAAGAAATATTTGGATGTACATTCCGCATATCGGCATAAAAATCTGTGAGTAGATTTATCGAGACAACCGGTTTCTTTAGATCAACCTTCAGTAGCAGAGCAAGTACGCCTTCTTCACTTACAATTATTTCTTCCATGGCTACTTTCATAGCATAGGGGGGTAGCACCGTGTTAGTAGAATGTTTCGTAAAAACTCATTGGAGAAACGTATTCATCTCATTAGCGATTTGCTCAAGTTTTCTAATAACTTGTTCTGAATACTTAATTTGCGATGTTGAATCTCCTTCATCTGACAAGTATCGCTAGAATTTGTGGGGAATGTGGGTCATAAGTGAAGGTAACGTAGTGTTAAAGAAATGAGCTTTTTCTTCGAACATTTTATGTTTCAAGGCTCCGTTAAGATCGGATGCGTTGCTCTTGTTTCCTATTTCAAAGCCGTCGTTTTATTTTTATTTTCAGTTGAATTATTTCACGAGTTATCCAGGGGTATTCTCGGTTGATGCGTTTCTTTTTTATTCTGAATAGAGGTATTTTTGCAATAGTTGAGAATGTTTTTAAACGAGTACAGTGTTTTTCCACATCTGTTAGCTCGGCGAATTTATGAAACAGCATTTTTAAGAAACGTAGTACAGCACGGGTGTAATCTTTAAAGTATGTAGATAGTGGCCTTTCTGTATTTCCGCGTGTAAGTAATGGGACAAGGTAAAGAAATCACTTTATCATAGTCGGGCTATGTCAGGCATCAGTCGTGATCTATTCATCGCCCTCTCTCATAGCAACAGCTGTGGGCATGAGCGTCCCTAGTAACCGTAACACCCGCTATGTCAAGTTTCGACTCCAGCAGATGTCAGCAACAGCGGCGGCCGCGCGCTTATCCTCCCCCTAGCAACCGAAGCCCCCACCTCCTTGACTTGAACCTCAGTTGCCAATGCCTCAATGCAGTGCATTTGAAACGCGTTTGTAGCGTTTGTGCTGCCATGCCAGCGTTTGTGTAGCGTTTGTGTTAATTGATAAGTCACTGATATCAAGGCTGTCAGGTACAATGACAGGTTCAGTGCTTCGTCGCTCCTTCTCTTGCCGTTTGCTCTCCCTCCTCCCTGCGCCCCACTTTCCCGTGCAATAGAGTGAA